GAAGTTGTTGTTCTCTTCTATTGCTTTCTGAAGCACTTCTTTCTCATGCTCTCGTTTCTCAGCAAGCTGCTTCAAGACTTCAGCTTCGTGGGACTAGAAAAAAGTTTAGCGGGCTAGCCTCTCTCTGGGTGTCTTTAGCATTAATTAAATTAAGATAGAAATTACTTATCAGGGGATTAAGAGGCAAAAAATAGGATCCCTAAGATACTCAGAACCTGAATTATCCCTATCAGAAAATATCATGAAAATCATCTTTTTTTCTAGCACTTGCATTTACTTTAGGAAACTGCCAATAGCTTGTTTTTCTCCCAACAATTTAAGGCAATCCTTTTAAGATTTATTGTTTAATGGTATCCAAATGAGCTGAGTAATAGATAAGCAAAAATGGTACTTCGTTGTAAAGAATTTTGGTTGTGGGGGCTGGGGATTTAGCTCAGCGGCACAGCGACTGCCCGGCAAGCGCAAGGTCGTGAGTTTGGTTCCCGGTACCAGAAAAAAAAAAAAAAAAAACTTTGGTGGTTTTAACTTGAAAAGCTACCCAAAGAAAACTAGCTCACTATACAAACTTTATTACCCATAACTGATAAACATTCACAAGTGTTTGAAGGCATCAACTTGTAGGTTGTAACACAGCAACTGGCACTGGTTCTAGTCACTCTCTTTCGCAATACCCTAGTCAAGAGTTTCACTATATTTAGCAGTTACTATGTAAAACAGGTTAATGATCACCAGGGCCAAGGGTGATAACTAAAAATCTTCCACTAGTCCAGCCTTTAGTTGTATTGCTTCCTCCTATTCCTATTCCACGAACTCAAAAACTACATGAAAGATCAGGAATAAGATGATGCACCTGTGTGAACATTGCCATTTTTTTCCAAGGGGGAGATGATTCACAGTGTTGGCAATGGGTCAGTACATACCCAAAACACATGGCACTGAAAGGTATATGATACATGCTACAGCAGTTTAAAAAGGGGTGTGTGTAAGCCAGGCATGGTAGTCCACACCTGTAATCCCAGAGCTCAGGAGGCTGAGGCAAGAGGATCACTGCGAGTTCCAGACGAGCCTGGGCTACAAAGTGAGCTCAAGGCCAGCCTGAACTGCATAGCGAGACCTTGTCACAAAAAGATCCCCCTCCCCACAAAAAAGGACAAAAAAATTTTTTTCAAAATAAAAGGGTGTCTACAAGCACATATGCACTACCTTTCAAATCACAGTAGCTATGCTGATCTGGGTTGCATTACTACTTACTTCATCTTTTTTCTGTTGTTCTTGGGGACAGAACCTGGGCCTCATTAGGCCAAATACTCTATTACTGAGCCACATTCCAACCATACTTCATTTTTTTGGTGCCCTACTTCCCCTAACTTTAAAAATAAACTCACCCATCCTAATCACAGTTGTTGGGAAAGGGGAGACTACCTGAGAATTTATGTGAAGTTCTTAATGAGCAGAATAATATCGACTGGAAAGAAACACTCCAAAATGTAAACAGTGGTCATCTCTGAGAACTAGGATAACTAATGCTCTTAATTTCCAGTTACAAACTTCTGTTTTCCCATTTTTTATAATTATAATTAGTATTTGTTGATTTATTGAAAAGATGGGTACTTGATAACTGTTAGATAAAAACTACGACAGTATTAGTTCAACAATACAATCACATTGCTAGCAATTTAAAATCTTTGTTGTACAGCTCTCAACTAAAGACACAAAGAATTATCTGCCTACAAATGGTCTATTTTTCAAAGAGAAGCATAAGAATGATCTGAGCTTGAATTCTCCACTTCCTAGCTATACGACTTCACAAAAATAACATTTCTAAGATTATTTTCTAATATCTATTATCTGTAACAACTCCTACCCCATAAAGTCACTGTATTAAAGGAGAAAATATAAGTAAAGGGGGTGGCACATAATAGGAGCTCAATAAATAATGACTCATTTTTTTGCAGCATTGATATAATTTTCATAGTAATAGTCATGGTATAGTTACAATTCTATTTTCTTCCAGTTATGGATATAAAACCAATTGGCCCCATTACAGAAACAAATACCCCAATTTCTGTGAATTGTTATGTTTACCTTGCGTCTTTCTTCTGCAGCTTCTAATTTCTTCTGAATTTCCTCCAGGGAAAGATCCTTCTTCTTTGGAGGGGAAAGGGGGAAATCTGGGACAGATTCTTTTGACCGAGGGCTAAGAATCAGCTCAAAAGCCTGGCCTGAAGCACGCTTCTCCAGTTCTTTCACCTGAATATCTGGAGTTGATCATATTTATGATAAGTCAGAAAAATGCGGTTCTCCTATTCCAGTAAATGGTTTTGTAATTTTCTAAAAACCAGGTCAATTTAATGAGTGGAATTATGCCTGATGAAAATGTGTTTGTAGGCAAGAAATTACTAACTACTACCTCCCAGAAAAATAAAGCTTAATATTTTTGCATTAATAAGTATCATTTTGAGAAATCAGTATTTAACAATTGTTTTAATAATCTTTTTAAAAAAATTATTAAAGTCTTGTGCAAACTCCACAATTTTACTTTAGACCAAGCCAAATCATCTAATTATGGGCACTCAGAACAATCAAGTGATAGTAATTTGTTCTTGATTCTCCTAGTCATAAAACAAATTTTTGATAAGACTAAAACATAAAAGCCAAATTAAAAGCTTAAGACCTGAGTCACCTCCTATTCTAAAATCTTAAACCCATCACAATTTCAGCTTTTCTATATAGATTACCTACCAGAAGAAGCCATGGTGAATAGAAGACAAGAGACTGGCAGTGTATTCTACACAATCCACTGGCAAGGAAAGCCCTGAAAATGATTTTCAAGAGCACGCAATCAATTTCTCTGCATTTCTGTACGTCACACAAACACAAAGGGATTTCAAATCACTGCCGCACAAATCAATGCCAAAAGATCACTACATGGAAATAAAGACATCATTAACCAGTAAAGAAAATTATCAATATTTCTTTAAAAATAGTGAAACACATTGGGAAATCCAAACTGAGTAACAATGGTTCCAGAAAATAAAGTTAACTAAAGGTGCTCACTCAAAAGACAACACCTAGCTTTTTAAAATTAAAAGAGGTTGTCAAAAGGTTGGAGGATTTTTAAAAATTCTATAAACCGATTTTTTTCTTCCAAACCACGAAAAGATATTCCAGATTCAACCCAACAGTGAAATCGATGCCATCTTAATACAGAACTGCCTACAATTCATTGTGCAAATGAAACACCCACCCTTGCTTTGTCTGTGTCTGCCATGGTGGATAACAAAACGCCCAAGCTAATATTAACCAATAATGTTCAACTCCTATTGTTCCTGGGGTTTAAGCTTCTTGACCAACAGCGTGCACAATTAAAATTTTAGGAACCTCGACGTTTTAAGTTATATTTGCTGTCTTATTTCATTTTTTCATTAAAAAAAAAAAAAGATACCCCTTATCGATTTCTTTTAGGGTCGGGTCTCTTGGAAACCCCAGGCTAGTCCCGAAAACGTAGGACTACAGGTCCCCGACAGCTAGAAACTGCAATCTGCGGCAGGGAGAACATTCTACCCCAGAAACGCCTTAACTAGCCACAGCTCCCGACCCCGAAAGGATGTGGGCGTGGCCCTGGCCCAGGCAAGCCAAGCGGGGCAGTCGCCCCCGGCCAATCAGAGCACGCCCTCAGTTCCACCCTTGGCCCCACCCTCTTCCTCCCCGCGCCTTTTCGAATCTCCGCGAACTCTCAACACCCGGGAGCCCGCGCGTGGGAAGGGGAGGGAGGGGCGGGGCTAACGGTCCTATCCGGGTAATCTCGCCCCTCCCGGGCTCGCCGCGAGGGATGACCCCCCCCCCCACTCCCGCCAAAAACACTTCCAGCCCGCCGCCCCCCGCCCCGGCGCCACAATTCGGCGGGTGGGGCGGGACGGGGAAACACACTGCTGGGCGGCCCCGCTGTGGGCTCCACACCTCCTCCCGTCGCCTCTATCACCAACCTGTCGCCCCCCAGCTGTCCGCGCCCTGCGTCGTGGGGATCGCCCCTCGGTCACATGCCACGGCGGCGACTGCAAAGAGGGGCGGTGCGCAGCTCGGCCCGAGGCCGCAGCTCCAGAGGCGCGCCCTGCTCCTCCAGACAATGGGGACCCCCGAAAATCCGAGTTCCCCCGGCCAGCGAGGGAGGCAGGCGGGACGGAGACCCACGCCTCCTATTGTCTCAACGGCACCCCGGGGCTCACATCCAGAGCCGTCCCAGCTGGCCGCGCCCCTTCCCCAACGACAACCGCGCCCCCAGGGAGCGGAGACAAAGCCGAGGCTCCGCCCGAGCCTCACACAAATGGAGCGACCCCCGCCCGCCAGCCGCTCGGGGCCCCGCGGCCCCGCCTGTCGCCCTCCACAGAGGGGGCTGCTGCCACAGCCCCGCCCGGCCCCTCCCGCCCGCCGCGTCCCTCTCGCCGGGCCGCCGCTGTTGTCTTCTCCGAAAGCCCCGCACCCACCTGCTTGGTCCGAGCCGCCTGGCCACACTCTGAGCACCAACAGACCTGGGCGCGCACAAAAGCGCCAAACAGCGGCACGTGACCTCCCCGCGGGGCTCCGCATTGGCCGAGCGCGGCGGCACGTGCCGGCCCCGCCCCCGCCCGAGCGGGTCCCGCCCTCGGACCCCCACGCACCTCGGGAAATGTAGTCCGGGTCGGCCGGGCGGGAGGACAATGCGGAGGGTGGGGGCGCTTGGGAGGGTCTCCTGGCGTGAGCCGGCCTCGGGCGGCGGCTCTCCGCGGAAGAGAACGTTGCCGCGACCCCCCAGGACTAAGGGGTCTCCGTGTCTGGAAAAAGGGCGGGGCGGAACAGGGTAGGGGTGCAGCACCACCAGTTAGACCTCAGCTGCCTGGACTCTTCCTCTGCGTGGCGAGTGCCTTGCATCGCCTCAAGGGCAGCGCTGGGACAGAACAGTGTCCTTTCTGGTGCACCACCCTGCTCTGTAGCCTGAAACCCCCGAGCCCTGTGACAAGACACTGCCCCTCCACGCCCCAGTGTGGCCCCCTAATCCCTGCCCTCGGCCCCTTACCACGGATACTCGCGTGTCACCTGTATTACGCCATGACATCATCATAGTCCCTAAACTCATTCCATGCTAACGGGTCATGGGCGTGGCCCTTCCTTCTCTATGTGCGTTCCCGATACCATTCTCAGCCTCCCGAGCTGGAGACCGAAGACGTGTGCGAGACAGCATTAGGCCCTGGAATTTGATCTCCTCTGGTCTAACAAAGCCACTCGGCTTAAATGTAGACTGCATCTGCTCTGCCCAGCCTTTGCCGGTGTTAGGAAGAGCAGTAGCAGTTCTAGATACACAGACTGCAGCTAAGTGTTGCTTTTGTTCTTGGAGCACGTGCTCCCCTAGAACAGTGTCGGGCTCTTTTTAAGAATCAAAACAAAAGGAGCCACAAGGTCAATGTTTCCTCTGGCCTGGATAGATCAGAACCACAGGAAAGGCATAAAGGAAATTGGTCAAACTCTGGCTGTCTTAGAATGACTGACCTCCCTTTCCCCATAAAATGAGGATAAGAATAAATGTCTATAAAAAAAAAAAAGAATAAATGTCTATGGTTCTCGGATCAGACCCCTTCTCCCACTCCCCTGACAAAGCTGTGTCCTTGGGTGGTGGTCATTGCATCAAGGAACCTACTTTGAGATCCTTACTGAGCAAAGAAGACACCTTCATTTTATTAATGAGCTTGGTCTCCCCAAACCAAGGAACACATATGACCAACTGTCCAGAAACAAGGGTCCTAATTCTGAAAGACTCCTACATCTAGTTACTAGTGATGTGCCAGAGATAAAATATAATTAATTGGTGCCCAGGACAGTGAAAACTGGATCATACAGGCGGCAAACACCATACAAAGCAAACAATTAGCAATGCACTGTTGCCTGAAATATGCTTGTTGCAGCATTTTCTCCAACAAACGCCCTTGTATGGGGTCGGCCTCCCCCAGCCAATCTAAGTAGCTCTTGGTTAGCATGTGAGCAGGACCAGGAATGATTCAGATTCTGAACCCTGAAAGGCCTCTGCCCACCCTCCTCTCTGCCCTTCTGTCTCTCACTCTCTCTTTCTCTCTCTCTCTCTCTCTCTCTCTCTCTCTCTCTCAAACTTAGCCTCAGAACAACCAGGTGCATCCATCTGTCAGTTTTCCAAGCAGAATCTCAGAAATCATAAAGCCAGAAAGGGGTGGGGATAGACCTTGCTGAAAAATGACAAGCAGGCAACACAAATGAGTAGGACCCCAAGGCCTAAAGGTCTGTTGCCCTCTGAACCAGCCTTTTTTTTTTTTTTTTTTGTCTTTCTGTGGCATGGTCTCCCTATGCAGTTCAGGCTGGCCTTGAGCTCACTATGTAGCTCAGGCTGGTCTCCAACTCAGGATGATCCTTCTGCCTCAGCCTCCCCGAGTGCTGGGATTACAGGTATGTGCCACCACGCCCAGTTCAGCCTTTTATCTTGAAGTCTTTGTACTTCATCAGGAGGTTTGCATAGGAAAGGGTCCCACCCATTTGATTTTTCTCAAATATAAGAAATCATCACACAAAAACCTCACATTTCTCTTCATTTGTTAATGTTGTGACATAAAAAAATTAATCTTTTAAAATACTGATTATTTTAAAGCACTTAAACCAGTCCCCACCATCACCACTTTTTTTTCCCTTCTCCCTAGAGCAGATGTCTATTTCCATGGCAACCACAGCTAGGAACCATAGATGTTAGAACTCATGTCGATTTTTAATCTTTTTTAGCCATGCCACTTGGCTTCTGGGTTTGTTGTTAGATGTCTGGTTCTGCCAGTCTTTGTGACAAGGATTTCCTGAAGTCCTCACTGCTGTTTGGAGACAGTGGGGGATAGGGTAAGGTTTCCCCTAGAATGATCCTGTGAATAAACAGAGGTAGAATAATGCTTTTTCTTTAGGGTGGGGTTGCTTTCTGAGAGGCAGACCCGCCCCTATTCTATTGTTAACTCTTATGGGTGTTCATTTACATGGTTCCCTGGAATAGGAAGAGTTTTTGAACTGTAAGAGAGAGAACACCATTGTCACCACTTTGGAGAGGGATGAAGTCTCTCTTCTGGAAGGTTTCCTACAACTGACTTCAAGATCCACTCCCTTTTGAAGAGGCAGCAAGGAGTTAACATTCCCATCTTGGAGCTTTCCATCTTTGCCCAGGAGAATTATTTTTGCTCTTGCTCAGATGGTTTGGTAGGATTGTTACGAAGCTGGCTGTGACTATGGATTAGCGCAAAGTGAAGTCGAGATATGGCAGCCATCCAGCTTATTTGATCTGGTTAGACAGCTAAAGGAGGGCACTTCAGGCTTCAAAGCCCAGGAGGGATGTCTACACTGATGAAATGCGCGGGGCTGTTGTCAGATCTCCTGTATTCCCAGAGAGACGGCAGCCTTTGTTCATTGTTGGTTCTGAGGCTGCAAGGGTTGTCTCCCACACAAGCGCCGCAGACTTCCACTGCTGATCTCGAGGGCCTGTCTTTGGCCAAGGGGTGTCGTGGGAGAGGTTTTCTTATTGTCCCCAGCGTCTCTGTTCCCTTTGTCCCTTCATTCTCAGGATCTGTGCTCCAACCTTCTCTTCCCTGTTCAAAACCTATCTGCAAAGCTGCTATTTCACACCTCTGTCTCCCTCACTTGACCATTGGGTCCTCAAGGGCAGGGGCATTGTCTTTGTCTTGGTGTCCGGAGTGCCCAGGACTGGACCTGTCGAAGGATGGGAACTTGAATGTTCTGGCCCTGCCCGACAATGCTTGGTATGTTGAAGTTCTGAACACTTGTTTTTTTTTTTTTCCCGTACCAGGAACCGAACTCACGACCTTGCGCTTGCCAGGCAGGCGCTGTGCCGCTGAGCTAAATCCCCAGCCCCCTCTGAACACTTGTAAACTAACATTGCTAGAGAGATTTCTTGATTGCTATAGATTATTGAATGAATGTAGTGTATATTAGACATGTACCCTTTGGTGGGAATTGTCATTGGTTTTGTTTTGTTTTTTGAGACAGGGTCTCTCTATGTAGCCCAGGCTGGTCTCAAACTCATAGCAATCCTCCTGCCTCAGCCTCCCAAGTGCTGAGATTCCAGGAGTGAGCCCCCATACCCGGCCTGAATTGTAATCATTGGATTAACTCTTTCCATAGGCTCTGGTATTGGTTTTTCTCCGGTACCGGGAACCGAACTCACGACCTTGCGCTTGCCAAGCAGGCGCTTTGCCACTGAACTAAATCCCCAGCCCCTGGCTCTGGTATTTATATCTATTTAAATTTAGTTTTTTTGAGGTACAGTACTAGGGATCAAACCCAAGGCCTCCTAAATGGTAGACAAGGATTCTACCTCTGTTAGGCAAAAATGAGAGTAGGTGAGCTGCACTGTAGGAGGCAGGCTTTAATGGAGTTAAAAACGGAGAGAGACCATTTGGCACTAGACCACAATGACACTGTCTCACAACCTCTGAGCTACATCGCCACCCTTATTTTATTTTATTTTTTTGGCACTGGAAATTGAACCCAGAGCCTTCAGCATGCTAAACACACTCTCCACTACCAAGTTACACCCACAATCTCCCCATAGAGTATTTATAAAATTAAATTAATTTAACATTTTGAACAAACACGTTCGCTGGGTTTAAAAATAACGTGTGACAGTTTCTCCTCCCTTCTCTATCTCTATCTGCCAATTTCTCTTCCTACTGCTCTCCCATCATAATCATTCTTATCAATTTCCTGTATATTCCTGAGTTTCTTTGTGTGCACACTGAATAAATTTATAGATATGCTTTATTTTTATTTATCTGTAGTGGTGGGGATTGAACCTCGGACCTCCTGCATGTCAGGCAAGGTTTTTACCATTAAGCTACACCCTCAGCCCATACATGTACATTTTCTGTCTCTCCTTTTTCATACAAATGGTAGCCTGCTATAACTGTTCTGTGCTTAACAGCTTTCACATAGCAGTGTATGTCAGGAGTCTTTTCCCTGTTCATACATGGAGCTTGTCCTTGGTATGAATGTTCTGTGATCTAATTAATCAGTGCTCTATCCATACCTCTTATGTTATTCCCAACTGTTTGCCATTTCAAACAGTGCGGTTATGAATGACCTCATACATATGGCATTTCCCATGTGAGTGAGTAAATCTGCAAGATATATTCCTAGAAGTCAAAGGACAAACACATTTATAGTTTGGGTAGTGCCAAATTGCCTTCCACAGAAGTGGTACCAATTCAACACTCACCATGTGGTGTTTTAATTCATTATCTCAATTCATTCAAAAGTGGTTTGTCTCTAGAAATTTCAGGCATTAGGGAAGAGCAGGGGAAGGTCTGGACATCCCAGGAAAGATGTGGCTGTCAATTCTGTGTAACAAAAAAAAAAAAAAAAAAATTCTGTGTGTATTAATTACCTGACAATCAGTGGCTGATCCAAGACAAGTTCTGATGCCTGCACTGCAGCACTTGCCTTAGTTAGTCTTGTAGAAGTGGCTATAGGTGTCATCAGGAGGTCAGAATATTTTGAAGGCAGGGTCTTTTTCGTTGCTGCATTCTATCCCCCCCATCCTTGATAGAATGCCTCGCACAAATCTTACTTAATTTTTTTCCCAGTACTGAAGTTTGAATCCAGGGCCTTTCCACTGAGCTACATTCCTAGCCCTTTAAAAAAAAAATTGAGACAGGGTCTTACTAAGTTGCCAAATTACCAGGCTGGGCTTGAATTTGTGGTCCTCCTGTCTTGGCCTCCCAGAATGTTAGGATTATACGTGTGTGCCACCTTTGGGGCCACTTTAATTAAAATATGCTTCCCTCCCACATTTTTCTATTTTCAAAATCATGGGTCTCATGGTTACTAAATAACATGTCTTAATCATTTTGACAGCATTTTTCTTAGTGGTACATAAAATAATGGTCTGACTTAAAAATCAATGGAATTTTCAAATCAATGAACTATGGAAAATTGCACATTACATATAAATGTGTGAGCGGAATGGGGCCACTTGTCCCAAGCCTTCTCTGTCTTCTCAGTCCGTGTTCTAACTGACCTTCACCCTTTATGGAAGGCTGTACCCTCTCCTAATGATTCCTCTTATGGGATTCCTTCCTGGCTTCCATCTCTGTACTGAACTCTAATACCATCCAACTGCCCAAAGGATAGTCCCTCATAAGGGCCTCAAGCCCAGGATGATGTACTTTTTGTTTTGTTTTGTTTTGTTTCCGGTACCAGGAATTGAACTCATGACCTCGCACTTTCCAGGCAGGCGCTGTGCACTGAGCTAAATCCCCAGCCCCAGGATGATGTACACTGAATAAACATATTCCCACCGCCTCAAGTCTGGTTTTCCCCATTCAGCTCGTGCCTCTGATAGACTCAGTTTAAAAACTTAACCTAGACTCAGTGTTGCTTTTCTTGTCACCCAAGGCCTCTGGCTA